TATCTGGAAAGTACTGAAGAAAGAAAGATGAAAAAATCAAAAAAACAACATAGACAGACATGGAGTCAGTCCCTTTTGATGCATTTGATTTTTCATTCAAAACTATACCATACAGTTCTTTAACAATTAAAAAAAGATAAAATCTTTGAATTTATTTTCTTGTTTCAAGACATTTTTACAGAGAACTGCAATTAGAAATAATCTATATTCATATATCATGGATACGAGTTAAATGTTAAATAGAAAGTTTGATGGTTTTATTTAAAAAGTGAAAATTAATAATGATAATTTTTAGCAAATTGGTTTTCGTAATTGCTGGAGAATGGGAGCATTCGTTGGATGGGTCAAAGACTTTGTCTGAGACAGGTTTGAACTAAAAGATGCAGCCGTAAATTTGGAATGTAAAATCAATCCCAAAAACAAGGGGCATTAAACCATTTAACAGGGGCACTTGAAAAATAGTTGACAGTCCCTTTAAATTTCGCTAATTCTCTCTTTTCGAAATAAAACTGAACTATACATATTCAATATAGTATTTACGGTTAACTTGTGAATTGCAACGGTTGAATTCTTGTTGATTTTCTTTTATAAACAATTTTTAAAGAATTATTTCCCAGGCATTTAATGCAAATATTTTCAACCTTCATGGAATTATTTGACAAGAAGGTAAACAACAAATATAAATATAAAGTTGTTGTAAACAACTATATTGTACTAGACTTTTAGGGAGCTTTGCGCCCGTCTTCTATTTCAACTGTGAACATTTTCTCTTTGTATACATTATAAAACAATAACAAAACAAGTTTGCGGATTTTCAAATTGCTTTTCATGGTTTTTCAAAATTTAAAAAAACTAAACTTTTTGATCTTTTTTAATTCTGAGTATCTATAAACCTTCCCTGGGGTCATGTGATCTCCCACACAAAATTTGGGCCCGATCAGTTCAGCCGTTTTGAGGTTTATTGAATACAAACGGAGAGAGAAACAGACAAACAAACTATATATATAGATAGATAGCAAAGATTATATTAAAACATAAATGTAAACTAGAAATTTTTTAACAAATGTCTTGTACTGCAAGGCTTTCAGGGAGCTTTGCGCCAATCTTCTTTTTCAATTGTGAACATTTTCTCTTTCTATACATTAAAAACAAAAACCAAGAAAGGTTCGCGGATTTTATGAAAAATAATTTCAAAATTTGATAAAAATCGAATTTTGATGTTGGCTAATTTTTGAAATTTTAATCTTCCTTAAACCTTCATTGGAGTCATGAAATCGGTTCAGCCGTTTTAACGTTTATTGTACACAAACAGACAAACAGACAAGCAAAGTATATATATAGATAGTAGATACATACAGCAAAGTTTTAACAAAAGATGTATTTAATAAATAGCAAAGATTGTACAAAAAAATATATATATTTTATATGTTCATTGCAAATATTTTTAAAAAACAAACAAATATAATGTGCATTGTGTGTATTATATTCAACAACAAATTTTATTATTCAAAAAATATCAGAATATTTTATAAAATAACCATTTCAAGTTATTACGTTCACAATTTTATCTAACTAGGTTTAAATAGCCTTTTTTGCTCGTGTATCTCCGGGCCTTTCTTCTTTGTACACTCAAAAATAATAACAACAACAAAAATTCGCGGATTTTCTGTTTTCATTGGTAAATTTTCAAAAATTTCCACTAAGAATAAGTTGGTTACTTAAAAACGATTGGTTCGATCGGTTCAACCGTTTTAACTATTATTTGATACAAACTTTAAAACAGACAGACGAAAAGGTAAGCAATATAAATACATAGATTTTGTAAAAAACATCTTTTTGCGATTCTATAATTTTACCAGGGCGCTTCGCGTCCATCTTCTATTTCATTTGTAAGCATTTTCTCTTTGAATACATTGTAAAACAAAAACGAAAAAAATTTAATTTTGTTAGAGGCAAATCATGTGATGTCCCATACAAAATTTGGGCCCGATCGGTTCAGCCGTTTTGACGTTTATCGGATACAAATGGACAAACAAACAGACAGACAAGCACAGTATATTTATAGAAGAAAAAAACAAAACCTTTAAATGCAGAAAAATGTGCGAAAAAGGTAATTTCACAGAATTTATGCTAATTTTACAACGGCTGCAGAATATTCAACATATTTTTTCTGTAAAAATTAAGAATTCAAAGACTGCTAAATCAGACTTACATTGAATACTAAATTATATATACTAACTTGGGAACATAGTTTTTTGCCTAAAAACTTACTTTCGCAAAACAAAGTTAGCTCATGCATTTTCGACAATTTTGAGGCAAATCGGCCACGGGGTTTATTAGTTATTATCGGACATCCTAACGAACAGAGATTACTACTTTATCTATTTAGATGACAATGACAAGCGGAGAAATTTTCATGGGATTTATTTTGATATTTTAAGAAGATCATATTTTAAGTTTTTAAGCTAGAATCTGATAATCTCGGAGTAAAGAGGAATTATCAACTCAGTTTTAAGTGATTGAACTTTTATCAATGATACCCTTTTATAATTTTATCTCCTTTCCAATAAATTTGTTTTCGAATATTTAAATTAAAAATACGACAAAATAACAGGGATATGGCTGTTTTTGATTTACCTAAAATATAATTAAAATCTTTTTCATGATTTTAAAATGGTTTTGTTAATTCGATAAAAAGAGCAAAATATTAGGCTTTTTTTTAAGCAGTTTTAATCATTTCTTAAATAGGGATTTTAATGGTACAAATTGAATCATATCAACACTATACAGAGATAGAATACAGACATTCTTGTTAAACATGACAAGCTAAGCAGATGCGGCGGAAATCACATTTGAATGAAATATGGATTTATAGCGAGGCAATAATGGAACTGAATAAAACAAAAATTTAACTCCATAATATCTTTTGTTCTACTCTTTCCCCCCCCCCTATAAAAATACACGCACCTTTTACCCTTTAGTAAAAGTAAATTCAACCTAAAGTCTGACCGCGTCAACCTTGTTGCACCGGCTAGTCATATTGAGTGTCTGCTTTATTTACTCAATGTCCGGGCGATACAGTACAAACTGGGACCGGAAAGGATGACCCGGCTCGGAAATTCAAATGTATTATGACTGCCCGTGAACAACATAGTAACAAGAGTTTGAAAAAGCTGAATCTCTGTTGATTTCTAAAAGGATCAGTTTACAGTTTAGATTACAAATCATTCCGCCCAATGGGCGAAAAGAATTTATCTAATCCTTCCATAGATTATTTTTCTACAGTGATAACCAGAAAACTTTTAAAAAGGAAGACGACTTTCTAGCAAGTGTATTTCATGTTATTACAAGCAAATAGTTTTACTAGACAATTAACAAATCGCTAATTAAGTAAAATGATTCGGTTTACACTGTGCAATTGCTGCACTTTATGCATATTGGACTATTTAAAGTCATAACTTGAGTATAAAAGTCGTCTTCCTATTCCAGAGCTTTCTGGTTTTTACTGTTCATGTTCTCTAATCGCTGTAATAACCTTCCTTCAGTAGATTTACCAAAGATATTTGATATGACTGGGTGAATAATTCACAACAGTATCCATCCATATCAAGCTACGATGTAAGTAATTACTTTTCTAAGTCAATTTTATCACATAAAAAGCTTCAAATCAAAACAATAAGGACACCTGTAAAATTATTCACGTAAAACGTACAACATCCTTTTTGTATCGAAATATTTTCAGTCCTATTTGGATGTCTCATTCAATACTCCGTCAACATCAGCGTAAGAGATATTACATATGTATACTTAAACATTTTAAACAAACAACAAATACTCTACATTAATTGGGTGAAAATATGATCTAAAGTTACGACTCACAGTTTACCGTATATCTGTTAATGTGTTACGGTAAAAAAGTCTTCAAAATACCTTAATTAGCATCTTTTTTATATACTGGTAAAGTGTATATCAAGAGCAATGATAGTGTATACTATAAACGATTAATAGATATGCGGAATAGGGAAACAAAATTTAAGCAATCTTTTAATAATTTAACACAGAAAATAACGTTTCACCCGTTGCTTAAAAATCAGCTTATTATGTCATAAAGGTCTGTGCTCACTTCTCAATTAAAGTTTTATCATGTTTAATGGATCATTAAAAGCATTACAGTGGTATTCCTAATCTAAATTTGTAGTGGTCCCCCTGCAGGCTTACTGTGAATTTTCTCTAATGTTTCCAACATGAGGATGAATCTAAAAATGGACAAGAAATGACAAAAATGACGCAGCAATCTGTTTGCAAATTATTTTTTGATTTCTCACCTTTTTCTCTCTCTCTCTCTCTCACTCTCTCACTCTCTTACTCAGAGTTGCATCGATGCAAGAAAAATGAAGAGAAAATATTTCAAGTTACATCATTTTCAATATTGGGTAAAAATATTGTTATGATTATTATACAGTGGGTGTTAAAATAAATTGGAACCGTTGTTAAATTTATTTAAAGGATTGTTAAGAGAAATTCTCTGGTTTTTAAAATCGTAAATATGGCTGAAAAATGGTATTTTTTAAAACTGAAATGAAAATTTTGGTATTTTTTTCTTAATTAGCAAAACTTGATAAAAGATGGTCAACAATGATGATATTATATTGCATTTTAAGAGTATGTAAATGTTAAACTTCGCTTATTGGAAAAGTTTGCAAATAAAAAAAGTAAAGTAAAAAATTATTTATTTATGAAATATAACAAAAACATACAAAATAAAGTGTTTCAGGAGAAAATATTTAAAAATCTCTAAAAGTAGAGGTTGTGGGAATATTTCCCCCCCGATTCTAAAAAAATATAAAACTAGAACTAAAAGGAAAAGGAAAGGAAAGTATAAGGAAAGTTACATATTTATTGTTTACACTATATTTAAATTTCATGTATTTTCTTCAATTTTACAGAGTAAAGGGTCGCTTTAGTTTTCTTTAACATTTCTAAATACTCTTATTTTTCAGGTAAAATGATTTATGTCAGAAACGTATAGTAGGCTTTATCATGGTAAGTATTGTCTCAAGTTTTCTTCTTTTTCCTCTGAGTTGAAATGGAAAGGAAATTAGTCTTTGACACAAACTCTGATTTTCAAATCTCTATATCTTTTCAACACAATATCGTAGACCTCAGACATTTCAAACTATGAAGTTTGAAATATCAAAAGATTTTGCCATCAGGTTAAAAGATATAGGGATGGGAAAATCCGAGTTTGTGGCAAAGACTCAATTCCTTTGTTGCATATTTTGCACAAAGGGACAGTAGGAGTTAATTCAGGTCACTCTACAAGAAAAAAGTGTATTTTACTTATCCATTAAAAAGCTTCAGGATATTTTTGTGGACAAATTTGTGTGGGAAAAAATTTAAAAATTTTAGACTATATTTTAGGGGAAAAATTTTTAGTTGGGGGAAATCTCAAATCTTTGTTTTTGGGGGGCTTTTTTCAGTTTGCTGAATTTTGTGTATGGGAAATCTTTAATCCTTATTTTTGAGTCAAATTTTTTTATTTTAGGGTATTTTTAAAATATATAAAGAGGCATTTTTTAAACTAAGGGTTATATTTTTGTTGGGGGCAAAACTTCTTTATGTTTTGAGCATTATCCAAATAATATAAGGGGTATTTTTTAGTTAGGACTGTAAATTTTAAAGTTGGTTGTATTATTAAAACATTTGGGATAAAAAAATTAAATTTAGGTGCAAATTAAAAATATTTGGTGGCATATAAAAAAAAAAACAGTTACAAATGTTGAATAAAGGGGCAAATTTAAGTCTGGTGGGGCAATTTGAATAAGTATGTTTGAGTGTAATTTAAAAAATCCAAGGAGACATTTTTAAAGAAAGTGGAAAAATAAAAAGAATCTGAGTATATATTAGTGGAATTTGATTTTGCTTAAAGAGTCTAGGATTGAAAAAACAAAATTACTGTGGGTGCATATTTTTTCAAATTTTCGAGAAAATTAGCTATTTTTTTAGATATATGGACCCCTGTTCAGGACTTCTTGCCCCCCCTACAGAGGGGGCAAGCTTTGTTATGGGGGGGCATGCCCCCCTTTTAAAGGTTTAAAAAGCACTATAGTAAATCGAATATTTTCTTCTTTGCAGTATTATCCCTGGACATATATGTTACAATTTCTTTTTTTCTATGAAGTTGTTGCTAAATTGAACTCGGGAATGCAGTACAGGTTGTCAGAGAAATGATAATTTTCAAGAAATTTTTGTTTTATAAAAAGATGTTCGAGGGCCCAAAGGTTATATGGCGCAAATGTGTGAAGTACACTTGCAGTGCATGCAAACTTGACGGTTTTACATTTTTTTTTACTTAACTCCACTCTATAATCTAATCATTTGTCTAATCATTTGTCTAATCAAAAACGTATAATACAAATCCCTATATTTGATAATTTTCATTGTACTCGAAAAAATATATATAAAATAGGTTTCGTAGATTTTTTCTTTTAAATGTCCATCAAGTTTAAGCCGTGTTTGTAAATTTTTTATTGCCCATGTTTAGTTTTAACAAAACATGTCGCTTTCTTTACCTTTTTCGATAAGAGGATTACTTAAAATAAAAGGAATTAAGTTTTTTTCCACAAACTCAAATTCTCTAATCCCTTTATCTTAGCAAACCGGATAATGTACAAACTTAGATTTATTGATCTAACAGAATTCATAGTTTAAATAGCTAAGGTATTATAGGGGATGCTAAGATATAGGGTTTAGAAACACATAGTTTGCAAAGATTTAATTCCTTCGTCTGAATTTGAATCTATAAATTTGGAGAAAGAGGGTAGATGTATAAGAAATTATAATCTTTCATTCTCCAATCTTCACTTACGAAAGAAATGAAGAAATTGATTTTAGATCACTATAAAATTCTTTTGGAAAATTGAGTACAATTTTAGAAATTTATAGAGTTGACAAATGTGTTTTTCCTTTGCCAAACAGTGCATTGCAAAATATGCCTAACTTGCTAAAACCAGATCTTAATAACTAATCAGTCCTCAATCTGATAAATATCTTGGCTTTGATTAATTAAAATGTTCCAATTAAAATTTATTTTTGAATATTAAAATAATTTGTAGGAGCCACCTTAATTGAACTACGCGTTTGGTTTTAATTTAAAGGGACTGTAAGCGTAATTTCAAGTTACCCTACATGCAGAAGTGGCAATGTCTGTTTTACAATGGTACCCTTGAAAGCTTTTTCAGATCAAGTTAGATATCAATACTTTTGTTTCTTTAAAATGTTTATTTGATTCGCGGTTTCTCTGAGAAAGTGCCTAGCGCATTCCTTGTTATAAGAAGCAATGGAGAAACACACAGAAATAGACACTTTTCGAGTCAGAAAAACGACGGTATCTTCCACATTTTGTATCAGATTAAGGTTTCAAGGGTACCTTTGTAAATCAGACATTGCCATCTTTGCATGGAGGGTTAGTTGATATTACACTTACAGTCCCTTTAAGAGGTGTTCCGGAGCGTAAGTCATGGGAGAGTGGGGTGGCATCGTCCCCCCCCCCACCCCCCAATGAATTACTAATATCTAGGCGTATCTGGAGCTAACTGTATTTATGTTACAATCTATCTGTATGTTTTTATGTCTATCTGTAGTAAATGCCGTACTTTTAAAAGTTCGTCCCATAAACTGTATTAGTCCAGGTTCAACCAGTCCGCGATCCAATTTGAACAGGACACGATCCACACGGCTACAATCCCGTGACTTATCAACGCCACAACCTGGGCGTGATCTTGTTAGCTATCGGTGTCAATACAGACACTATCAATCAATTGATCAATGTCTCAAACCGGACACGATCACACGGCAACAATCCCGTGGCTATCAAATAGATCAATACCAATACTCAAGGCACCATCTCAATTCGTATGTTTCAACAAAACCCAAATTACTCTATACTGTAATCAAAGCCTAGTTAAGATCCATGTGTTACAAGTTAAAGTTAATATACGTAATTACATTACAACTCATACGTCTTTATCTATTTATGGGTTAATAGGTGTAATTTCAATACCTACTCAATTATATCACATGTTTTAAGGCAAATCATGTGATATACTACAGCACAATCAAAAAAGTCGTATTTGAATATGAATAATGGGTTTTATGTACAAACATTGCTTATTAATAATGTACACCGTATTGCAAATGTTTATGGAATATTGTATAACCCGATATTTATTACATATCTCTAGGTATATCTGGAGGTATCTGTATGCACTATGTATATATATCTATCTGTATGTATATCTGGAGCTATCAGTATATATATATATCTATCTGTAGGTATATCTGGAGCTATATGTATGTATATATATCTGTATGTATATCTGGAGCTATCAGTATGTATATATATCTATCTGTAGGTATATCTGGAGCTAGCTGTATGTATGTTGCTAGCTGGGGAGAGTGTAGGTCAGCTGTCTCAGCTGTCACAGCTCCTTGGAGTAAGTACGACTTGTTTAAACTGTTATAAACCGTAAAAACATTTTAAAGGTCTCAAATAAATCCTGAAAAATGTCTCCACAATATTCCACTCTCAACTTAACTACCATGGCTAGCCAGTCACTCCCTTTAAAAAAATATCTAATGACTGAAAGCATTTTGTTAGCATGTGACAACATTGTTTTAGGCATTTTAAAACCATGGAATCATTTTTTTCATGGTTTTTGTATCTTGTAGCTTTCTAGAACTTTCAGTTTCACTAACAAATTCCTCTGTAAGGCAATAGGCACACAAAAAACAAGATCGACCTTAAACATAATTGGATCAATATATTTAATATTTATTAAGAAAATCCACGTAACGAAATAAAAATAAATTTTCTTTTTTAAATATTTAAATTTGTTTAGTTTGGTTCGTACAATAATCAGCTGAGTAGTCCACGAAGATCTAGATATCAGCAGTACTATCAGGTTTATATTCACTTAGATCTAGATATCAGCAGTACTATCAGGTTTATATTCATTTAGATCTAGATATCAGCAGTACTATCAGGTTTACATTACTAAATTTAATTATTTACAATCTGAGTGGAATAATGCAACACAGTGAATTTATATGGAGTCTTGGATATAAGACGTTTTTAACCATTTTCTCCTAATGTATCTATTTATGTCATTGTAATGGGTATTATTAAGTGCGATACCAATTTCAATAACATATAAAGTTTTACTCAAATTATTTAAAAGCAGGTCGATAAAGTTACTTTATCACCCTGTTGTAGGGCAATAAATTCACTTAATCCCCCCCCGGCCACAAAAAAAAATTAAAAGATTTCCTGAAGTCTGTGTCCCAACGGAGGAAGTAACAAAAATTAAGTATTGCATTGAAAAAAATGATAGAAAAAATAAAAAAAATAAAAATTATATTTTAGGATACATATATCAGAATTCCTCCTTATAACAGTATTTTTAGGTAAGCTTAAAATTTTTAAATAAACTTAACATAATTTAACTTTTCTCAATGTAGGCATTATTTTAAATTAAACATTTTTGATATAATTTGTTGTTGTTTCATGAATTCTAAAACTAAAATTTATTTATCAGCAGCTTGGTGACACAGTTGTATTTGTTTGATAATATCTGTTTAACTAACGCCACTCCTTTATCCCCGAAGTTAGACTTCAATCCATTGATTTAAAATATTACACTTTTTTGATGAGCTTTTTGTTTTAGCTTTCTTTAGAAAGCAGTGGACAGTTTCAGGTACAGGCTGTTTCACGAGCAATGACAATTGAGTGATGATTTAAAGTTCGTCTTTGAGCTTACATCAAATATCAAAATTTGTACGTTGGTAGGCGTTAATATCAATATAATGAAGACGACTTTTTATTTAAGTTTTATTGTTAACAAGCTTTTTTCGAATTACAAGTTTACAAGTAATTAAAGAGAAGTCTTTTAAATTAACAGCTCTTTTCTTTGTTCCATTTATTTGTGTATTTATGCTGTTTAAACGCTTAATATTAATCAAAATTGAAACCGAAAGTCGTCTTCATTGTATTGGTATAATTGCCTGATATCTGTGGCGTATAACTACCGGAAAAGAAGTTGATTTAAGTCATGCGGAACATTTTTTAAAGGGAGTGACCGGCAATGTTTGGTAGTTGAACTGAGAATGTAGTATTGGGAGAAATGTTTTAGGATTCATTTGAGACATATAAAACGTTTAATGATGAGCGTTAAGTCGACTTTCAAAATCATCCATTTGGGTGGTTACGTTTTAAGAATCGATTTTTAAAAAAATATTTAATAACGACGACAAAAAATGTAACAATAATTCTACAATAAACTAATTAGTTGTTTAGGAACAGGTTGAGAAAATAAAAATTGGCTCTTATCATCGAAAATAAGTAATCTTACAACATTTGAAGAATTTGTAGAAATCTGTGAACAAATTCGTAAAGAATACGAAATTCAATATAACGATGAAAACGAATTAATTGATTCTTACATTGATTTATTGACAAATTTCTATTTAGAAATATGTTTCTAAATAACTAAGTAGTTTACTGCAGATTTTTTAAAACATTTTTCGTCGTCGTTATTTAATAAGTAATTTCAAAAAAATCGATTCTAAAAACGTAACCACCCATACGTCGACTTTGCGCTCAATCTCAGTAATTATACATCATTAAAATGTTTTATATGTTTCAAATAAATCCTTAAAAAATTTCTCCACAATACCACATTCTCAGCTCAAGTAACATAATTGCCGGTCACTCCCTTTAAGCACACTTCATCCTTTGATAGGTTTCAAAGGTTAACTACGACATTTAAGTCGTCTCTCAAATGCCATGCTTCATGGGACACCCTGTAGATTTCTATACTCCATGTGGTAATGGTTATTATTTACATTTGACTGATTAATATAATCAGTCAAAATTACTAACTTCGATGCAAAAGAAACCATATTCATATCCACAGAATTTTAATTTTAGTTCAGTAAATTCTGTAGAAACAACAACAACAACAACAACAACAACAACCACACCACCTCCTCCTGAATACACTGCAGTGGAGAAGTGGAGTAAAAAATGTGGAAGACGATATTCTAATTACAAACCCCAACACAAGGTGCACAACTACCGCAAAAATTATATTTAGATTTTTTCCCGTAAAATACCAATGAGTGCTCATTGTGGATCAAAGAGTAATTTCTTCACACATAATTATTTTGATCATAAAAGAAAACCATTGAGTAGTTTTACTTAATCTGGGCCAGGCATACACCAATTGGAGCCAATAAGTTTGCAACTGTAGTTGGCAGAAATAGGACGGAAAACCGTCCCATAGGAGGACTAAGTGAACCGACCGTGCATGATTTCTGTTCGCCGAAGGAGTATGAAATAAAAGATACAACTGACGCGGCCCGCCCTACCATATGATTATGGATGCTTTTCAGACGGGTACTCCATTTGTATAAGAAATATTCAGAATAGGTTATTCTACACGCGGTAATTGTACATCAGACAAATATTTCTTATACAAATGAAGTACCGTCTGCAAAGCACGTATAACCAATAACCATATAGGAGGGCGGGCCACGTCAGTTGTATCTCCCTTCTATTTCATACTCCTTGTTTTCGCCTAATTCAGTCCCCCGGCAAGAAATCTATAGAGTTTAAAGCAAGAAAAGTATTGAAGTAAGCCAAATTTGCCAAATTCCAAACAAAATCATGCATGGATATTGAATACAGTGATATGCAATTTTATAAATATAATGAAGACGACTTTTGATTTGAATTTTGACCTAAATCAAGCCGCCAAACAGTATGGATACACATAAACATAAAAATCAAAAGAAGCTGTCAATTAAAAAAGATTTCTTATAATTACTTATAAACTGTTCGAAAAAAGCTTGTTAACAATCAAAACTCAAATAAAAAGTCGTCTTCACTGTGTTGATATAATCGCCTAGCACTGAAGTTTACCAATAATTTAATACAACGGTGATATCCAGAAAACCTCGAATAGTAAGACAATTTGAAAAGTCTTAGGAACAAAAGACAGAGCAATTGTGCAGTGTAAACAGATCCATGTCACTAAATAAGAGACTTAATATGTGTCTAGTAAAGCATTTTGCTTTTTAACAAAATCCAATTCCCTTAAAATATTGCTACAATGTCGTCTTTCTATTCCATTGATTTCTGGACATCACTTATAGTAACATTTTTTACTAAGGCTCGACGCGGACGTATAATCTGGGAGGATGAGGAGAGTGCCGGAGCTAAACCTGCTCCAGACGGTACTTTTCCTTGGTTAGCCTCCCTTTTCCTTAGGTTAGTACTTTTCCTTGGTTAGCCTCCCTTTTCCTTAGGTTAGTACTTTTCCGTAGGTTAGTACTTTTCCTTAGGTTAGTACTTTTTCTTAGATTAGTACTTTTCCGTAGGTTAGTACTTTTCCTTAGGTTAGTACTTTTCCGTAGGTTAGCTCTTTTCCGTAGATTAGTACTTTTCCGTAAGTTAATTGCTTTTTCAAAAATGTAATACATATTGTGACTAACGGATCAATTGAAGGGTGATTGATTGATTACAAAAGTGTAATTGATTTTTCAGACGATCGACTGGCGAAGCTTATTTTATGTGCGCAGCTGCAATAGTTTCTGATAGGTAAACTATTAAAAAGAATAAAATAAAAAATTATTTATAAAAAAATTAGAAATTATTTTATAAAAAAATTTAAATTATTTTATTTTTTAGAGTTTTGGTCTCAGCTGCACACTGTTTTAGTGATAAATTTAAGGAAAACAACTTTTTTTAAAAGTTGAAATTAATTTTTAAAGAAATTTGCATTTCTTAAAGGGAGTGACTGGCTATGTAAGGTAGTTGAATTGAGTATGCAGTGTTTTGGAAAACTTCTTTTGGATTCACTTGAGACATATTAAACTTTTTAAAGATCGTTGATTCCGGAGTTTGAGCGCAAATTCGAAGTTCAAGACTCCTACTTTGGAGTCCTACAGACGTCATGTATAGGAACATGTTGAGAAAACAAAAATTAATCTTATCATTGAAAATAAGTAATCTTGTTCAATTAATAGTTTCTATTTTCTTATTATTCTGGTTTCTAATTATTCACACAGATTTTCGCAGATTTTCTAGAATTATTATTGAAAAGACGACATTTTAAGAATTTAAAGAAATCTGCGAATAAATTCATAGAAGATAAGAAATTCAATATAAAAATGAAAACGAAATAATTGATTTTAGCATTGATTTATTGACAAATTTCTTTCGAGAAATATGTTCCTACCATCTAATTATGATTACTGTATAATTTTTACTCTATTTTTCGTTGTCGTTATTTAATAATTTAAAAAAACTAATTCTGAAAACGTATCCACCCCCAAAGTAGGAGTTTTAAACGTCGAATTTGCGCTTAAACTCAGGATTCAAAGATCTTTAAAAAGTTTAATATGTCTCAAGTGAATCCAAAAGAAGTTTTCCAAAACACTGTATACTCAGTTCAACTATCTTACATAGCCGGTCACTCCCTTTAAAGGGGCTGTACGCTTAATTTTAATTGAACCTCCGTGCAGTGATGGCAATGCCCGATTCAAAGCAGTAGCGTTAAAACCTTTATCTTATTTATACTGTGGGAGTTACTGTCGTTTTTCTTGGTTCAACAGTGTTTAATTCTGATAATTCCTATATGTTTCCCTGCAGTAAAAAAGCCCAAGTCCATTTATTAAAAAAAAAAACATAATTGAAAATAATCAGTTTTCTAAATTATAAACATTGATTTCTAATTCATACTTGATCAGACAAAGTGTTTAAGAGTACTGTTGTGAATCAGGCATTGCCATCTCGGTTAATGAGTTGCTTGGCCTATTTATATATCTTTGAAATTGTGTGTTGATATTACTCTAAACCACATCAAAGTAAATTTAAATTAGTCTTTTATAAAAAAAAACTTTTAAAGAACACTTTTTTCCTCCTTAAGATTTGTTTCTGCCATGAAGCCTCAAAATAAACTGAGCTGAAAAATCTGTATAGCGGATATCGAGATCAATGCTTGATCTTGATCTTTTGTTAATCTGCAGATCATATTTAATCTTTATTCGATATCCCGCATGGTAAACTTACACAGAATTTGAAGGGAGCTTTGAACAGTAGAGGAATAACTAAAATGAAGATATGGGAATGTATAGACTTTTTTATGGATCCTCAAATTAAAAGTGCTGACAGTGGATATCAATTAAGCATCGAGGGAATATTTAATAGGTTTTGGAATTTTTAAGAAGGGATATTTAAACATTTAAAGAATGGGACAAAACTAGTGTTTCGTTGGTTTGTTTTTTGGTCATTTTTTGCCAATATTTGCCGTTCTTTAATTTTGTCAAATTTTGACCCTAATAGAAAATATATGCAAAAAACGACGCAAAAACGAACGCGTTGTAACAATAGTTTTTCCATTTTTTATTTTTTATGATAAAGATATTGCAAAGTTTAATCAAAGCAAACTTTAACATAATACAGTTTCGATATCTTGGAATTTTTATTGAATTTTTTCTAAAAACGATCAAAAACATTTAAGCAATATTTGAACAATTTTCTGAAAAAAGTTGGTTCCAGGACGAGGACTGGTTTGTCAGGGTTGGAGATAATTATATAGCTGAGGGGGACCCTAGTGAACAAACATTCCAGGTACAAGTATCATTATTATTAGTGTTATTATTATATAGCTGGGTGGGACCCTAGTGAACAAACATTCCAGGTACAAGTATCATTATTATTAGTGTTATTATTATATAGCTGAGGGGGACCTTAGTGAACAAACATTCCAGGTACAAGTATCATTATTATTAGTGTTACTATCACTTTTTAAATTTTTTTTAGAAGAAGTTTAATTCGCATTACACAATTCCTCCTCTCATTATTATTATCATCATGATTATTATTATCATCATGATTATTATCATCATCATGATTACTATCATCATCATGATTATCATCATCATCATGATTATTATCATCATCATGATTATTATCATCATCATGATTATTACCATCATCATGATTATTAGCATTATCATCAACATCATTATTATTCCAGGTGGAGAGAATTATAAAACATGAAAGTTTTATCCCACTCAGTGAACCTGGCGGAGATGGCAGGTATGAAATCGGTGGGGATTTCTATTATCATATAGTCTAACAAATTTTAATTATCTCTTATCAACCAATGAAAGGTTTTGATTTAAAAATGTTAAGTTTCAAAGAAAATAGTTTTACTGGTAAATATACTAAATCAATTGTTAATTGAAATTGGTCTGTTAACACTGCACAATTGATGTGTTTCATATTCATTGGATTATTTAAAGTCTTAAATTGAGTCTAAAACTCGTCTTACTATTCCAGAGTTTTCTGGTACTCACTGTAGTTTATCAGAGTAAAGATTTTCAAAATATTCTCTGATCTCATTTTAATTAGGGGGAAGTTTTAAGGTTTCAGGGATCTTAACAAACGTCTTACGAGAATTTTTCAATATCAAAATTTATTTAAACTTTGTCTATTTGGTCAACTTGGAAACATCTCGTTGAAGTTTTGTCGGACACAATTGAACGGTAAAATATTTCATGGAAGATGACATTGTAAACCTTATTTCTAGGAATGATATTGCCCTCCTGGTTATCAGACCGAGGAAACAGTTGAGAAAAATTAATTTTGACAAATATGTGACTCCTGCCTGTATACCCCCACCATACACACCTATAGACAGGTAAAATTTAATAAAAAAATCCACGAAAATAATTCCAAAATTTTCGTAAAAGAACTTTGAACTTTGATAAGAATCTCAGAAAGGGAATTATAAAATCCGCAAGATAGTGGTGTCAGATTCAGAACTAGAAAAGACCAATTCATCTAGAATATTGGGTTCGCGATATATTGGTGGTTGTGGTTGTGGTTGGTGGTCGTGGTGGAAATGTTCTTAAAATTTGGCAAAATCTGTAATTGGCCAGAAAAAAACTATTATAATTCTTTTACAATGATTTTTTTATGTTTTAAGTTTTATTTCAAACTTTTAACTAACAAAAGATATTCATCTTATTTAAAAAGCGTAAGAATGGTTTCTATATTTAAAGGGATTGTAAGAATGGTTTATATATTTAAAGGGACTGTAAGAATGGTTTATATATTTAAAGGGACTGTAAGAATGGTTTATATATTTAAAGGGACTGTATGAATGGTTTATATATTTAAAGGGACTGTAAGAATGGTTTCTATATTTAAAGGGACTGTAAGCGTAATATCAAGTGACTCTCCATGCGAAGATGTCAATGCCCGATTTACAACGGTACCCTTGAAACCTTAATCTGATCCAGAATGAATTAGAACTCCATGATTCGTTGTTAAAAACTGTTTATTTTGATTTTCGGTTTCTCAGCTAATTGACGTGCGTATTTCTTGCTTAAAAGAAAGACTATCTGAAAATAACACATTTTGAGTCAGAAAAATGACGTTATATTCCACATTAAGGTTTCAAGGGTACAGTTGTAAATTGGGCATTGCCATATTTGCATGGAGGGTCACTTGAAATTACACTTACAGTTGAATTTTATCTCTTGTTTTATCTAGGACAGCAAGGAATATTATTCCTAGTTGGGATTTCATGATCAACTGGTTTATCACAATTTACTTGCTTATGTTTACAATTTAAAAGAATTGTAAAAAACATAATAAAATTATAATAATAATTAATTCCTTTATGCAGTACGGAATTGTTTTAAAAACAATAAGTGGAGAGGTGTACAAAAATTGAAAATGTCACTAGAACTAAAATTGGTACATTTAGAGCCATGGAGTAATGTCTGGGGTTCTTTATTAAGGTTTTTGAATGATGCTTACTTTTTCCTCTTTTTCTTTCATTCCGAATTTTACTAATATATTTTATAGTTCCTTTGATTTGATTTTGATAGTCCACAAATATTAAATATTATTTATATGTGATCAGTGAGTTTTTCTCATTATTTTAAAACCTTATTACTGGTACACTCTTTTCTGTCCCAAAAAAAGCCATTTTTTCTCTACATTAATAGTTGCAAAAATAATGCAAATTTCGAAAATCTAAATATTTGATGCAAAATCCAATTATTTAGCAAAATATTTGTTAAACAGCTAGTGTTTAGAAGAAAAAACTATAAAGGTGCAAATATAATTTGCAGGCGTACGCCACTGTTCAAAATATTGGGAAATATTTTTATGATTTGACAGCTGTCCAATTAGTTGAAAAAGGGTTTCTGATTTACATTCATTGACAACTTTTATATCGTCTTCCATCCTTGCGGCATTTTTCATGAACACAATTATTGCAGTATTTTAACTTATTGCAGTTTTATCACTTTCGTTGACATGCATTAAATATTAGAAATCAAAGACGACTTTCAAGTTGTCTCTCAATTCCCATGTTCATTGGGATACCCTGTAGATATTATAGATTTTGTGGGCTAGTTGTGAACATTGGCTGTTCTAATGTCATTGAGTACATACGGAGTACACAAGTTAAGTTCTGCCGAACACAATTTGAATTTAGTTTAGTCGTACGTTTTTCAATTTACTCTTTAGTTTTTAAATCAGACCTGTGACATTTCACTTGTCAGAGTCGCTTGACATTAAATCTACAGTCTAATGTCTCTTGTTTTGTGGGTAACCCTGTACATATTTTTAGATGGGCGAATTCTCACTGTGAAATAGTTGGTTGGGGAATGCAGGAATACAATAATACAGATAGTTACCCAGACTCAGTCAGAGCAGCACAAATCACAGGTTAAACAATATCAGGATTAGGGCTGGACAAATCACAGGTAAACAATATCAGGGTTAGGGCTGGAAAAATCACAGATAAACAATATCAGGATTAGGGCTGGACAAATCACAGGTAAACAATATCAAGATTAGGGCTGGACAAATCACAGGTAAAACAATATCAGGAATAGGGCTGGACAAATCACAGGTAAACAATATCAGGATTAGGGCTGGACAAATCACAGGTAAAACAATATCAAGATTAGGGCTGGACAAATCACAGGTAAAACAATATCAAGATTAGGGCTGGACAATGACATGTTCTTCATTTTTAAAATTGATAGTGAACCATGTTTGTTAACTGCATCAAAATTAGTTCTAATGTTTGCTATTTTCAATATGTTCCTTTCCAAGAACTAGTTTTTTGAATGTCTCAGATAATTACTGTTCATTAACATTGGTTATTTGTTGATCATTGATCATCAACAATAGTTGACTGTCCTTTAATTATTAGGATCATGCTAATAGATTAAAGGTCCTTGTTAAGGGAAAAAAGATAAGTTTTATGTCCAAAAGTGTTTAAATAAATAAGTTTGCCTTACCAATTGATAGAAAATATGAATCACCCACTTCTTTGCGTGGAATCTGGACTGGTCACTCTGTAGTCTGTAGTCCCTCCTGATGACTATCACTTTTTGAATCTCAGCCAAACAGAAAAGATTCTTCTGATTGGTTATTTCTCTGTTTTACAGCCAATAGGGTCATAAACATAAAAACAGCTAAAACACTTTTTTAAATTTGACGATTCAAAGTATTTCACCCAATTTCTTTCATTTCTCCTTAAATTGCTTAAAAAGAATTCCCTGCATTCTTGTTGTGAACATAGTCAAAATAAGGAAGCCTAAATCTTTCTTTATGTTTAAACGAGATCATATATTTAATATACACCTAGTTGGTAGAGTGGATGGTAGTGATTGTATTTGTAACTACCTGTGTATACCTAGTTGGTAGAGTGGATGGTAGTGATTGTAACTACCTATATATATCCAGTTGGTAGAGTGGATGGTAGTGATTGTAACTACCTATATATATCCAGTTGGTAGAGTGGATGGTAGTGACTGTAACTACCTATATATATCCAGTTGGTAGAGTGGATGGTAGTGATTCTAACTACTTGTGTGTATCTAGTTGGTAAAGTGGATGGTAGTGACTGTAACTACCTATATGGTCGAGATGTTGATAGAACGGGTAAATTCTGCGCTGGACAGGGAGTAGATGCATGTCAGGTAAAAGACTTAAATCCCCAGAAAAATTATAATAATGGATTCCTCCCAACATAGGATGAGCCATATTTAGGCCTGGGCAACTTCCTGTGAATGGTAAAAGAAAATTTGTTATGTTTAACCCAACCTAAACTCAAATACAAAAACCTTCATTAGATGTTGATACCATTTTGGTCTCAAATGAAAAAGATAACATATTTTATTAGGATTGAGTTAGGTCTAAACATGAACATCTTTTACCATTATCGGAAAGTTGTATTTAGGACAAACTGTTTATTTTAAAGCTCCTTTTTGAAAGTTAACAAATAAACTCCTCATAACGTCGCTGTTCCACTGTTTTCTATAGAAATCGCTGTACCTTTGGAATTATTTAGGAGGATAGTGGGGGACCCCTAATGTGTGAATATGAAGGCAGATATCAACTTGTTGGTATTGTTAGCAGTGGGAAGGGGTGAGTACACTTTCTTCTAATTTTGGTCTCTCTGAAGCTTGTACATACTTGATCTACATTACTCTTGCTAGAAGGAAAGGGTAAATTTGGTTTAAGCTGTCACGTTTTACCGTCTATTGTCCGTATGTGTACTGCACAGCTTGCTCATACTGATTAAAAGTCGGTCCGGTAACTAAAATGAACCAGAGTTTTTAGTTTGTTAAGCATTGATTTTTTTGGCTCACACTCACACTAAACCAAGGTTTAGCACGCTCCTAAACAAAATTCTTTAACAGCTTAACTAGAAACAAACGCGTAATACTTTTAAAAGTGTATATGTCTAGGTCAGCAAGAAAGTATAAGTGAGTTGGCAAGGCAAAATTAAAGGCCAAGGTGTAGTGACACTTTAAAGTCAAGGCTGTCTAAATGACTAAGTTTCAGAGTTGTCTACATATATCTTAATGTACTTAAAATTTACAGTAAAACATTTTTAATAATTCTCACTTCACAAAAATGTTGTTTGTTTGTACACTCACTATTTGAGAATTTTTATCCGGATATTTTTATTATTATTATTGTTTAATCAATGTTTCTTTAAGATGTGGCAGCTACCCTGGATTATATACAGAAGTCACAAAGTACACAAACTGGATAGTCAGCTGGACTTTAGTTCTTGATCAGCTGTATCAATAGCAACTGTTTATACAGTACAACTGTACAGAGAGATCAATGTGAACATATATTCAACAAACACTGACACTGTACAACAAAAACAATATGGGTGATTGACTTTATAATAAAAACAAAGTGATTATAGTTATTTTTCGACTAGATGAAAAACATCAACAATTTATAAATAAAAGTGAAATAATTTAAAAAAAATAAAATTTTGGAATAGAATACAATACAGTTTCATTAATTTTTCTAGTAGGTTCAGATTATTGTTTAAAGCATACAGACGGAGAGTACTCAAAATTACAAATCAACCGTAGCAGAGAAATTAAAGTATTTTTTTAACTGCAAAGTAGATTTAAGAATTGATTTTTATTTTTGTAGAATTACTCATAAATCAAATTTGAAAGGAGGGATTAATTCATTCAGTTTACTATTTAAAAGAATCCGGTTTACTGTTTACAAGGATCCAGTTTAATATCCAAAAGGATCCGGTTTACTATTTTAAAGGATCCGGTTTACTATTTACAAGGATCCAGTTTACTATCAAAAAGGATCCGGTTTACTTTTTAAAAGAATTCGGTTTACTATTGGATCCGGGCAAGTTTTTTGAAAACAATAAAAAAGCTATAGTTTTTAGTTACATTTTAGATTTTTAAAACTAAAGAACTTTTGTTTAAAAAACTTATAGTTAAATGTGTCAGAGTCTGTCTTTATAAAACTATTGTTTTCTTAAAACAAAACAAAAAGCAATTGTTTCATTTTTTAATTTTAAAAACTATCTCTTGTACAATTTTTTTTTCATTGTTAACAAGACGATTAGTTGTTTTAAAATTAGTAAAAACTGCCAATTCCTAACTAAGTATACTGTAAAAATTTCTCTTTTCCAAATATGCCTGGCTAAAAGGGGTAAATAGATCGTAGAAACTCGACTTTCTATAGTTTATTTTTGTTTTAAAGTAAAATTATCATACAATAAAAGTATTTTTCTATTTAACAAAGAAATACATTCTAGTTTAAAGGAAAACAATTTTCATTTTTTACTTTCATGTGTATATGTAATGTGTATATAAATAAGTGTTATTTTTCCCTTTCAAATTAATTTTTAGTTTGGCTGGTGATGATACCCGCGCTCTCCCCCCCCACTATAGAAGAAGAATTATTTAAAATGTTAATACTTTTCTCAAACAGCTGCCCTATGCATTAAAACTATTACAAAAAATGTAAAAATCACTTTTTCTTGTAAGGTAAAAAGTTTTAAGAGGAAAGTTTCAACCAGAGGGGGACTGGATATTAGCTACCTCTCCGTGTGCATTAGCCATGAGTGTACACTTTGTATAGTTTCTGATAAAGAATATTAAGAGATTATGACCTAATAATACAGTACACACTGCTATTTACGGGTGAAATTTGGACGAACAAACAGAATTTAATATATTAGGATCTGTAGTCAAATAAATATGAAATATTTCAGTGCAATTTATAAAAACAGTCTAGTAACAACATGAAATATTATTATTATAAAGATTTATTCACACACAAAGATATAAATACTTATATAAATGGTGTAATTTAAATTTGTTTAAATAAATTTTTGAAAGTACAGGTTTCCAAAAGAAAAGAGAAAAATATGCAAAATTATGCACAAATTGACGACATTGATCATTACTCATTACATAACATATTTATCATTTCAGTTATTACGTAATCATCAAATCCTTCAACATATAAATTATTCATTCTTGTATTTAAAAGTTCTTGTAAAACCAGAACTTTCCATGCACAGTCCAATGGGACATCAAAATATTTCTTAACTAACATTTATTAAGATCCAAAAAATTTACAGAACAATCATTTGCAATAGAAAATAGATTTCTGCCAAGAACTGTATTAAGGTCATTTTTGCATAAATTAGAAAGAAATCTAATTCAAAGCTTAGAATTTGCTTCAATAGTCTCACAGAAAGACACACACATCTAATAGGTTTACAAATATGAATAAAATTGTTGATTATACAAGTAAGATAGAAACCACATACTTTAGATTGGATCTTTTTCTGGGATACATATTTACATAATTAAAATAGCTTAACAGATAAATCTTTATTTAGACTCAAGCAGAAATGCTTACAGATATTATTTCAACGATTTTTCACCAAAATGTATACCAAACTTTAGAATAATTTCAAAAATAATTGTAAGAATACCACCAAATGATTATTCCATCATCATCATGGTTCTTTTTTTTGGGTAAATATTTAAACATAATTAAAATAGCTTAATCTTCAAATCTTTATTAAACCTAATTAGAATTGTTTACAGATATTATTTCAATGACAATTCACCCAAATATATCCCAAACTTTAGAATAATTTTAAAAATTAATGTAAACATCACCAATGTTACATTTCTTCAAGTTTACCAATTCTGATTTTTAAGCCAGCCAGGTAATATTTTTGGACTTCCATGACATTTAGCAGCTTTATGAAGAAGTAACCAGTCATTTGATGTTAATTTAAAAGGGTTTTTTGACAAATCACATCCCTCACTTACAGAATCTATCGTTGGATATCCATTGCGGGAAAATGTGTATGGAGGATAGTGCATTATTGAATTGCATTCATATGGTACTCCAAAGGTATCGCAATCTCTACATTTATTGAACTGGGATGTTTTATTTTCTTTAATGTTGTTCTCATTGACTTTAATAAAAGTGTCTCTATCCCATCTATTTTGTGTATGCTGAAGACCAAATGCATGAAGAAACTCATGACGTAGTACACCAAAGTATATCCTGAGATCCTTCAGTGTGAACCCACGGTGAGAGCACAACTCTTTGCTCATGTAAAGATAAACATTCTGTATTTCAGGGTCCCTTCCAACATGACCAGCAACACCATTGCGATTATAAAAGCAGCTTCCCCCTGTTCTAAATAATCATAATTAGTTGTAAGTACCAACAAAAGAAAATTTTGGGTTTATTTTAGACTAATATTGATTTTTCTGTAATCTTTTGTACAGGAATATTTTTTTTCTTGGGATCAAGAACTTAAATTGCTACTTTTGAAATGTCTTTTCTGATGAAATCCACAATAAAAAATACCAGTAGATGCATTTGAAAAATATTGGCAACTCTTTTTAATTTTCCTGCTAAATTTTCAATGTTTTTGAATATTGTCTTTTGTTTTTTCTCTAATAGCTTGGTCTGAAATTAATCCTAATTTCAAACTATAGACAAATTATATTTCAACAACCCTACTTGCACTTGCATGGTTTCCTTTTACTTGTATTTTATTTACTTGATGAGTAAGTAGTGATCTTTGTAGGTTGAGTCAACTTGTTTAAATTCAACACAGGATCCTTCTTGAAACTCATCCATTACATACTCGAAAGCACTCTGAATAAACATTTAATCTTTTAATCATTCTTAGGAAGCAAATAAGAAGTTGAAATATATGAAATACTGTAACCTTTCCCGTATTGGATATTGCTTTATCAAATACATATGGAACAGTCATCACTCCACGCACATTCTTCCACCAGCCATCAAACCTGGAAAATATGTTGAAAATAATGATGTAAGAATTGTAAATATGGCATGGCTGGTATTTACTTTTACTGGTTCCATTGAAAAAGTAGCAAACAGAATCATCTGTTTTCCAAAAAACCTTATTTGAATTTTGAATGTAAAATGTAAAAACTGGAAGATTTATAAAATGTTGAATGAACTGATAAGCCTGGCTGCTTATTTTTGTTTTCTTATATTCATGAAAACCTATATATTTGTTTGTGTCAGTATCAATTTTGTGTGAAATTCCACACAAAATGTGGGAAATTTCAGTGCTTTTATTCTTCATAAGGTATCAGGTAGCTCATAAAATCCGCGGTTTGCAGTGGAATGAAAAATGTGTGCATTCTGTGCCCAAAGATTTTCTCATCCTGCAATGAACCCCAGCGTCCAAACAAATTTATAAGTCAAAGTTTTGAATGCAAAAAATGTATCGCTTTTCTTGGCTAGAAAGATTATTTAAACTGCATAGTTTATATAATGTATTAAAAAACATTACACAGGATTAAAATTGTAATCTTGACCCCCCTCAGGTTCCTCAGGTGCCTTCTTAATCACATAATCTGAACTAAAATAGAATATTTTCAGAAAGGTAGATATATATATGAAGGACTAGTAATATATATCCAACTTTTATAGAAAACCATTTTTAGAATTCTTATTAGACAATATGTCTGGTTTAAAGAAAACTAATCAGAGAAAAATCTCTGATGCTCATTGCAATTGATATATTCTGCACTTTACTATGAGAGAAAGTAATATTTTGAATGTAATTACTTCTGACTTTTGCATTGCAATGTAACTATTTATATCTCAGAGAATAATGTACCTAAAACTGCATCCTTCTGAGGCAAAGGAACCATAAATTCCAACAATGAAAATTATCCCAACCTCCAATACAACCATCTGAAAAACAACATATTTCTATTATTTTAACCTTTGAACTGATAGGGCCTTATTGGCCATAATTGCCCTTCATCTAAAAAAGTATCATAAAAGCCCAAGCAACAAGTATGATAGTGTTTTGTGTCAGATATTCATAGTCCTAATCCCGCAATTTAAAAAATCAGGGTAAATACACCTTGGGTCTAAGCTGTTGGGCCTTATTTATGGCTTGCGCTTTCAAATTCAAGGTGCATCTCATTTTCAACAGAGTTTAGTTCAAAAAACTGGTTTGATATTCTATTTGGTGGATTTTCATGGTAGAAATTGGCGCATTCTGGGTTTTGATGAGAATAAGATTCAACATTCAGCCTTATTCTCCACTAAAACCAACCAAGGTTGGTTTTATTTTCAATTGCATAACTCCTTTAGTCAAGCCGAAGATCTTGCAGCTGTTAATCTCGGGACATAAGCTGTTGCCAAAGTTGGGTCAAAGATTGGGTCTTAAAGTCGGGTTTCAGGTATTACAGCTCAAGCCGAAGTTTTTAAATTGCAGGCTCTGATCACTCATTTTTATATCCTATGTGGGCACTTTTAAATTGAGGATTAATGCTTAATCTTTTCATTTTAGTTATTTCATCATGGAGTTTGATTTACTATGCAAACAAGCATTTCCAGCTTTGGATGATAAGTTTGATTTAACTGCCCATGTTTGACATTGCTCAATCAGTAAAACTAATGAGTTATCTTTTTTATTTTGTGATGTGTTCATTCCACTATGTGTACAACTTTTCATTAGAATCATATTTTAATGTAAAGAACCTGTAAAATCTTTCCCTGGGATGATTAGAAAGATGAAAATTTCTCTGTATGATAATTAAAGTACTACATTATGGTTTTGGTGAATTATATTGACGCACTAAGCCTAGGGAAGTCAGAAATATTTTTTTTTGCATTGTTTTGAAAACGTTCCATAAACCTGAAAAAGTTTAATTTTGATAAAACTTTTTGCTCTGTGTGATTGAATAAATTCATAGAAAACTTTCTTAAACCATCATGTTTTTTCTAAATTCACTTTGTTAAGAGTTTAAATCAAAATAAGTATAAATAAATTGTGCTTTTTATTGAGTAGATATCCTTAAACATACCGATGTAAACCTTTTCTGTGTTGCACTTTACTCTAGTTTTGCATTATTTTCATTTGTGTAAAAGAGTAAAAAAGAGATTCTGTTAATGGTTTAAAACTAAACAGCTGATGATTCATTAGAAGGAGATGGCAAAAACACCAATTTGTAATTCTCAAATCTTTTTATGGAAAGTGATTGTAATAGGGTATATAGAGTACTTCAGCGCACAGGGTTCTACAAGTACTTGGCTTTCAAAAATGACAAAAATTGCGTTTAAATGTTAAAAACTAGCCTTTGAGATAATGCACAACTATTGCTATATATGCCCTCAGAGAAAAGTTAATATAGTCATAAATTTGAGATAATGCATAACTATTGCTATATATGCCCTCAGAGAAAAGTTAATATAGTCATACATTTGAGATAATGCACAACTATTACTATATATGCCCTCAGAGAAAAGTTAATATAGTCATAAATTTGAGATAATGCACAACTATTGCTATATATGCCCTCAGAGAAAAGTTAATATAGTCATAAAGGAATTGACTCTTTGCAACAAATTCTGATTTTCTAATCCCTATATCTTCGGATTCCAACGTCTTAAACCTTTGAAATTTCAAACTATGACTTTTGTTAGATCAAAAAATATAAGTTTGAAATATCAAAGGTTTACGACATTGGGTTCCAAAGATATTGGGATTAGAAAATCAGAGTTTGTGGCAAAGAGTCAATTCCTTTGAGCAAAACTTTTATAATTCTTTTGATATGTACAGAGACGCCATGAAGAATGATTTTAAATTTAATTTAATCTAAAATAATAATGTTTTGCCTTATTTTTTTTGCATATTTTTAATGGAAGCACCTTAGAATCATTATTTATATATATAAGTAATTTTATTAAAAAAGCTGATCTGCAGAAATACTGGGGTTCTGCAGGGAACCAAATTGGAGAAGAGACAGACAACAACAAAAAAGATTATAAAGAATGAGGTAGAAATTATGATGACAAGAATAATTAATAAAGTTTTTTTGAAAGATATGTACCAAATAAATTTAAAATTTAAAAGTAAAAGAAAAGAAATGTAAAAAAAATATATGAAAGTACTATAACTACATAGAATACAGATAACTTACCATAAAATATGTACTGAGAAAGAACAAATTCAACTTATCTTTTATGCAAGGAATTATAGCCATTAAATTCATTATTTCAAGGTCATAAAATCAAAAATTTTGACTTTTACTCTATTCATAAATAAAGAATTTGAATTGTAAACTTCAAAATAATATTTAATTTTGCTCTTGGTGGAAAAAAAACTAGTTACCCCTTTGCTATATTTGGTAAAATCAATGATTTTACAAAAATATCAAATAAGTACAAAAAAGTATATTTCTAAATTTCTGACAACTGTTTCTTTAATAGGCCTTCAGACCTTATTTGGAGTGGGGGATAATATTTGATTTTTGAATGTATTAAAAAGTTTGATTTTAACCACTGCTATACATTAACTTTTCCTGAGGTCAAATTTTGTATACCTAAAGGAGGTGGTGCTCTTTGGCCTATTTACTTATTGTAATAGTTATTTAATAAAACTATATATTTGGGGTATAACTACATATAATTTGCAAGGGGTGTCAAATAAGTATTTTTATCTTTTTTATTTAGATCTTCACTTTAGAATTTTCAAAGTTAATAAATGCTAGATATTACAATTAAGATGCATTTCTTTCATATTTTCAAAAAATAAGAATTTGTGTGATTGGATAAGGAAATAATCAACATTAATAATTCCAAATTATGACTTTTGTACTGCTGTTCTTTAGTCGGCCAAAACATAGAAAAGAGGAAGAAGCGTTGAGACTATAAAAAGTGCAAACAATTGTACTGAAACTGGTATTTTAAAGTTGTTGCAATAAAGAATTTCTTTTTCGATATAAACATATATGTAAAATTAATGAAATATTAAAGAAGAAGTTCTCAACTTCCTCTTTATTATATTCAAAATCCACTGCAATGAAACCATGTCAATATACTTACTTGAATTTCTAGGATTGGAGTAGTACATGATTTATTGATTTATGCAGCTAGGTTGTAAGGAGCACAGTTTATAAAAAAAAGTATTCTTATTATTGACCTTTAATTCATAACAAGAATATTTTTTTAATGATTTCAATCAATGTTTTTTGTTGAATGGTGGTCAAATTTATGCCAATTTTTTACCTTAAAAATCTTATTTTTAATTAAAAGTGTGCTAATTTAAAACATGTTAAGTTTCTGTTAAGTTTCCCCTTGAAAATATTTCTGCACTATACCTGCCGATTAAGTACAAATACAGCCTAGGAAAGTAATAAGTGGAACAAAATACCCATGTCCAGAAACTTACCACCTCTTTTTAAAAACTGGTTGTCAGCAAACAAATATTCTTGAACAACCTTGAAACAAGATTTAATGATAGAAGTCAAAAGGAATAATTGATATTTCATAAAACATTTTTACAAGCAATACACTTCATTATTGAATATTCATACAGAATCTATATATAAATTTGGCTTGTCTGTCTGTCTGTTTGTTTGTTTGTATCCAACAGCTGAACCGATCGGGCCCAAATTTTTTGTGGGACATCACATGACCACAGGGAAGGTTTATGAATAATAAAAATTTTTTAAAAAATGTGTTTTCAATGTTTTTAATTTTGTAAAAAAATTTAAATTCTTGAAAAAAATTTTTAAAAAACCGCAAATTTTTTTTCTTCTTTGTTTTAAAATGTAAACAAAAAGAACATGTTCACAATTTGAATAGAAGATGGGCGCGAAGAGCCCTAAAAGCCTAGTATTTACATAATTTTTTCATATTAAATGTAAGAACCCGAGTAAGTAATAAAATAACTTAGATAGCCTTTTGTATGGTAATGATTGAAAATTAAATATTATCAAAGTAAACTAGGGTAGAGAATGACGGATAAAGGATTTTCAGATCTCTCTCTACTTGTCAATTTCTCTTATATGAAAGAAACACTATAATTTTTTAAAAAAACCTCTGAAAATAATTCAAAATTAAAGATTCTATTGATCAAGTGAGTTATAACTTGGTAATGAAGACAATGAGTCTGATTTGGCGCATTTTCAGCCTTGGATGAGACTTCCATTTCAGATCCCAATTTGTCAAAATTTGCCTCATTTGAGCTTAGCCTAGTTCTAGGATGTTCTAATCTCAGGCAACCTGGACACTAACCAATGGACATCTTGGTCCTTCTGTCAATATTATACAAATGGTACAGGATAATCTCAGGGGCAAATATTCTAGGCAAGTTCAAATCTATACATATCCTGCCTGGGTAACACTAGTTCAGTCCGCCTGAGGTTTTTTCATTCAAGCTAGAAAAGACTAAAGAATTTGTGCCAGGTCTAACATCAGGTGTGGATGGTACAACAAATGTAAATGCTTGTACAGAATTAGTGCTGGGTCAATTATCAGGTGTAAACTGTACAACAGAAGGACCTAGTGGTACTAGTAAATGTGTACAGAATGGGAAAAGTGTATACTGCTCGTTTAACAGAAATTAACATATAAAGTCATAAACTCATGCATGATTTGTCTTCAAAAGAAATTCTAAATTAAAAGAATTATCGTAAAAAACAATTAGGTGCCAGGATTTTGTGGATTCCTGCAAAAGATTCCTGGTCATGAAAATGTGCTATGTGCACCAAACTTCAATTGTTTTAAGTTCTTGTTATTTGGAACACAATCAGATTTATATTCAGCAGTTATATAAATAGTAATAATCTTAAATGGTGAAGGAAATTTTACCTAAGTTGGTTCTTTACTAGGGAAAAGGGGTAAATAAAGGGGGGTTAAATCATTATCATCCAACAGTTTGAAACTAGTTCTTTTTTTTACTGTCTAGGGGGTATATAATTTCACTGGAAGGATTAATATATCCTTCCAGGGAGTTTAAAATTCCACTGGAGGGATTCAGATATCCTTTCAGGGAGTTTAAAGTTCCACTGAAGGGATTCAGATATCCTTCATATATCCTTCCAGAAAGTTTAACATTCCACTGCAGGGATTCAGATATCCTTCCAGGAAGTTTAAAGTTCCACTGGAGGGATTCATATATCCTTCCGAGGAGTTTAAAATTCCACTGGAGGGATTCAGATATCCTTCCAGTAAGTTAAAAATTCCACTGAAGGGATTCAGATATACTTTAAAGGGGGTTTATAATTCCACAGGAGGGATTCAGATATCCTTCCAAGGAGTTTAAAATTCCACTGGAGGGATTCAGATATCCTTCCAGGAAGTTAAAAATTCCACTGAAGGGATTCAGATATGCTTCAAAGGGGGTTTATAATTCCACAGGAGGGATTCATATATCCTTCCAGGGAGTTTAAAATTCCACTGGAGGGATTCAGATATCCTTTCAGGGAGTTTAAAGTTCCACTGAAGGGATTCAGATATCCTTCCAGGGAGTTTAAAATTCCAATGGAGGGATTCATATATCCTTCCAGAAAGTTTAACATTCCACTGCAGGGATTCAGATATCCTTCCAGGAAGTTTAAAGTTCCACTGGAGGGATTCATATATCCTTCCAAGGAGTTTAAAATTCCACTGGAGGGATTTAGATATCCTTCCAGGAAGTTAAAAATTACACTGAAGGGATTCAGATATGCTTCAAAGGGGGTTCCTAATTCCACTGGAGGGAATCAGATATGCTTCAAAGGGGGTTTATAGTTCCACTGGAGGGATTCAGATATGCTTCCAGGGATTAATAATTTGTGCTAAATCAGAACATGTGAATATGAACATGTGTTAAAAGAAACTATAAAACAATTTACGACTGATTTTTATTTGATGAGATTAATTCAAAATTATTGATTTATTCACATTTTTTATGACAAGAGTAAAAGTCAGAGAATTATGATTTTTAACCTTGGATGTCAAAAGGTAAAATTTTGAACTGGTATTTTCTGGAATTTTTGACTGGAATATAAGCCTGGTCAAATTAAAATAGTTTCATTGAATTCAAGCATTTCAGGGTAAGCAATACTTTTAAATACTTAATAATGAAAAGTAGAATATGTTTCAGTTTTAATAACTTATTTTCAACTTGTTAATAAATATTTACAAAACTCATCTAGCGTAAACATTTCAGAATATTTTAGAAGATTTTTACAAACAAACTGCCTTTTTGCAATAAACTCAAATTTTATATTTCCTTAATTTTTACAACCTGATGGTTCATACCTTGATATTTCAAACTTAGATTATTTGATCTCACAGAATTCATTGTTTGAAATATTAAAGGTCTACAATAATGTGTTTAAAAGATATAGGGAATAGAAAATCAGAGTTTGTGGCAAATACTCAATTCCTTTTTATGAAATATTTAGCACAACTGAACACTCACCATAAATTCTAACTATCTAACACTAACTAACATCTTTGAATTCTCTCATTTTAATAAAAAAAATGTTAATTTATAATATTACGTTAACATTATCTTACATTACTAAAATAATTAATTTATTTATAACCTTTATTTAAGCTGAAGAAATGTCATAAAGTTATTTCCAGATAATGCATTTTTAAAATTCACAGATATATATATATATATATATGCTAATGTAGCGACGAATAAAGGACCAAATTAAACAGACAGATATTTATTGAATCTAAGATACATCATGGGTTTCAAGTACAATCAAATATATTTGGTTTGGTTAGTTGAGCTTCTGGACTGGAAGACAATTTCTACGGATCTCCACACTAACATGATATCATTTGATAATTTAAATGTTAGTCATGGTGTATATATTGCTGTTACAGTGATGAATACACGTATAGCAGCACTGGCGTGTAATTTGAACTAAGTTTGCAAATGACAATGTAACATTCCCATAATTATGTTATCTAAAGTATCAAGTACCATCTCTAAATTAATCTGGGAAGGTTAATTTTAGGTTTGATTTTACTGAAAATTTATTTTCCAAAATTGAAGTGCTGGGTAGATACATAGATTAAATGCAAATATGAATATGAATTGATATTCATATTTGAATGTTGAACATTTAATATTCTAAAAATGTTGATTTTCTCGCAGGGTAAATGAGTAAAAAATACATTTTTTTTTGTAGATGGTTGTTTTGAAGAGTTTCATTATCCTTGCTGTTGGAATGTACAGTTCATCAGTATCAGCTGAATGTAGTTTCAGGTATATATTTGTTTCATTATCCTTGCTGTTGGAATGTACAGTTCATCAGTATCAGCCGAATGTAGTTTCAGGTATATATTTGTTTTTCTTAAAATACATAGATATTCAGGTCCATTTGAAGATATAATAGGGACTGTAGAGGTTTATTCAGGTCCATTTGAAGATAAAACAGGGACTGTAGACATAATTTTAAGTGGTCCTCTATTAATAGAGAGACATGTCTGAGGCTCAGCAGTACTTTGATTGAGCAAAAACTGTTCTTCTTTCTACAAATTAATTATTTTTAATTGAAGTTTCTCTAAAAAAAAGTGGCTGCACAGATTTCTTGCCACAGAAACAATGAGAGGAAATTGTGAGAAATAAACAAACAAAACAACAATATCATTGACATTTTTCATTGAATAACAGATACTTGGTACCATGAAAAATATGACATTCTGAATACTTGCAGTATGTTCTACATCATAAATGATTAATGTTTTAAATTTAGACTTAATGAGATTATTCATTGAAACTGAGTTTTAATCAACTACTTAACATGCTTAGCTCAAATTATGCGACATTATTAACTTACGCCATAAAATATGGTCAGAGAAGATTAACTGGGTTTAATCCTTTAAATACTTACTTTAACTGTGTGATAAATACCTAATACAATGGTTTTATTCATGTGATATTAATTGAATCATGACAAGCAGAGATCTTTGCTAGTTGATTTAGAATTGAATCTATAGCGAGCTTGAAAATAGAGCTTTTTGTTCTTGTTGAATCTATAGTGAGCTTAAAATAGAGCTTTTGGTTCTCGTTGAATTATATGAGTTGAGAAATTACCTAGTGGCATTTTCATTGCACTGTCTGTCCTTTTAAACCGGGATAAGATTTGTCTTGTGTTTAATCTAGAACCAGGGATTGAAGCCTGGTTGAGAAATTGTCTTTGTAGCAATTTTATTGGACTGAGTGTCATTTAGAACCAGGGAGTGTAGCCTGGTTAAGATTTGGCCTATGTGTCGTATTGAACTGGGGATTGAAGCCAGGTTAAGAAATTGCCTTTGTAGCAATGTAATTGAACTGTGTGTCCTGTAGAACCGAAGAGCTAAGCCTTGTTGGGAATTTGGCCTGTGTGTCATTTAAAGCCTTTGAGTTAATCCTGGTTGAGATATTGCCTCAGTGGCCTTTGGAATCTGAGAAGTTAGTCCTGGTTGACCCTGGTAATATGTAGACCTGGATAGATATGTCTTAAGTAAATTGTAGTGGAGTAGAAATTTGCTGCAGTGGGTCACATGAAATTTCAGCTTCAGTCTTTTCAGTTTCCTTAGAAAGAAATATATAATTAAACATTAATACAAATACAAATTTTACTCTATTTCAGAAATGATGATGCAATAAAAAAGAAACCTGTTGGTGGTGAAGATTACAATTTACGTCCAGAGTAATGAAACTTAATTTTTTTGCTTATGAATACATTTATGTATTCATTAATTTAAACAAAAATTATATTTGATTCAGTTTATTCAACAATTGTTGTGAATATTATTAATTATTCATTTTAAAAAGAATTAGTTATATTGTTTTTACAACTTTTGAACAAAACTATGACACTGTTGAATCCCTGATATTTTTTGCAACCCTAGATTGCAACCCAAGAGTAAAAAAATTCAATTAATTGAATAATTCAAAATATTATATTTTTTTAGTCCTCATTATAGCTGGAGCAATGTACGTGGTGTAACAACTGTTCGATATATATTTGATAAATCAGTCGAAGATGATCAATTAACAAAAGTAAGATATAGATATGATACATATTCAAACCTTTTAAAAAAAAATTTTTATATGAAGCAATTTCTTCTTTGTTTAGTCCTAATTTTGTTTATTTAAATTTTAAAGCATCTTTCAACAAGTACTTAATACCTCTTAATATCCTATGCATGTGGTTTGTTTGAGGAACAGATGTTTTTGAAAATCATCTGAAAATTCTGTTGAATTTCAGTTCAAAGTTCTAATAAGTTCAAGTTTCAACTCTTTTATTGAAATTGTAAAGTTTGTTTACTCAACCATATTTTTTAGAACAGACTGGAAAATGTGTTGACAAACTATAGGGTTTCCAGTGCAATGAAAAATTGTTGCAAGCAAATTGCTCATTTTGTGCACAAAAAATCTTTGATTCTACAAATTATTTCAATATATAATATAAATAAACTTCCAATGCTGGAGGTAACATACCAGTTAAGTAACATATTTGAACCAAGGGTGCAATTTTACAGAAAATTTTAGAATTTATCTAATACTTTTAAGACGTTGTTACTGAGTATAATCTTTAAAAAAAAGCATGAATGTGCTTGCAAAATTTCACTAGGTGGTCTTAAGAAGAAATGCTTTTATTTTACAACAGCTAGATAACAAATCCAAACAATTTTTTTTCTAAAAACCAATATGCTGTTTAGGAACATATTTAAATAAAAAATCGGGAAAAGATGAATGGTGGAACCGATATTTGTTTAGAATTGTTAGTTTTGCTGTTTATATATATTTATTTGCAGATTTCTTTAAATGTCGTCTTTTTAATTAAACTGAAGAAACCCTTATTATAAAAACTTATTTTCAATATTAATTTTGATCACAACTTCTTATACATACCATTAGTTTGAAGAATAATTTTTGTCTTTGTAACATAAGGGTTATTAAATAATTGTAGAAAACTTTTCTTTTGCTCACCTCCTCGTTGGGAAATTTTTACTAATGAATTTACACCTTTATTTTTAGATTACATGCAGTAAAATTGTCAAATTGGTTTCAAATTCTAAAATTTTTTTCTGTAAAGCTGCAAGCTTGGTTCAAATATGCTTCATGATAACAGTTATTTCTTTTTAGAAGGCTTTTCTGGATGTTATGAGAGAACTTGAAGCTCGATCATGTTTGAAGTTTGTACCCACTAAATCCAAAAGCCAGAAATACTTATTTATTTTGTAAGTAAATAAAATCTCGATTGGTACAATACAATAAAACCCATTCTATTAATGATATTTTGATTTGTAATTTTACAATTTTGGTACTGCTATTATCACTGAATACAAGTACTTGAGATAGTCCACAGGCATTTTATAATTTCAAAATCCTACTTCTTGCTTTGAGTTTAAAGAAAACTTTGTAAAAATTAACATTGATTTTTGAATCAGAATATTAATTTTTCCTGAGCAAAATTACAACTAACATTTTTAGTGCCGGAAATGACTGCATGTTTAACGATGTTACTGGCGGGGTTAAATATGATTCTGGATTGCAAACACAGACTCTGGAGATGTCCCATAGACTATGTAACCGTAACCTGCAGCAGACTAAAACTTCTTACTACAAAGTAATACGTCACGAGTTTCTTCATGTTTTTGGCCTGATGCATACACAAACTAGATGGGACAGGAATCAATATGTTAATGTTAACACCAAAAATCTTGTGGACTCTAAAGAAGCAAGATATCAGTATGAAATATGCAAAGACTGTGACACACTTGATGCCCCATATGAATGCAATTCAATAATGCACTATAAGACTAATACCTATGCTATCAACCCCGAAAAACCAGTTATGACTTCCATAAATAAATCATGCATCATAAAACCCTCCAATTATTTAACTAACGAGGACTGGAAACTCCTAAACAAAGCTGCAAAGTGCCCTAAAATCTAAACACAAAGAAAGTTGGTTCAGAACCTGATCAGTTGGTCACAGCTCCAATCATTTTCAATTTTCAAAATTTTTGGATAAATTTTTAGAGAAAATCTTGCATGTGTTTTCTTATTAAGTTTGTTTCAATAAAATAATTAGACAGTAAATTATTTAAATCATATACACAAGCGGTAAATACAGCTTATGAAGCTATGATTTTATGTGCTTTAGTATTTTATGAAACTATTGTGTACTTTATCATTCATTCATACTTACTTTGTGTTAATTTTTTTATTTACATGCTTAAAAAAATAATAATCATCGTGCTATAAAATCAAAATAGCTGTAAAATGTAGGAATGTGCTATAGTGAAATCATCATGGTATAATGTTAAATTAGCTCTATATNTATCGATATTGACTCTAGTTCTGAACCCTCTAGTAATAAGTTATAAGAAATATATATACTGTAAGTTATTTATGCGTTTTATTAGAGTCTGACTCACGTCCTCTATAGTATAATGTTAAATTAGCTCTATATTATAACATCGTGCTATAAAATCAAAATAGCTGTAAAATGTAGGAACGTGCTATAGTGAAATCATCATGGTATAATGTTAAATTAGCTCTATATTATAACATCATGCTATAAAATCAAAATAGCTGTAAAATGTAGGAACGTGCTATAGTGAAATCATCATGTTATAATGTTAAATTAGCTCTACATTATAACATCATGCTTTAAAGTTTTAATTGGTTACCTTAAATTTTTATTTATATTTTTAGAATAAAGTACACAAATATTTCATAATATTACCTTTAACACTACTTTGGTATGACACATTATAAAGTTTTTGTGCTTAAGGTTTGTGTTTGGATACTAATGCCAGGAAGAATTTAGTTTGATTAAATTGAGCCCTGGTTTAAGGTCATTAACAAAGGTCGTCTTTTATCTATATCTAGTCAAAGTTGCAAGCTTATATTCTGGCTTGAAACCCCTCTCTAACCTAATGAATTTTTGGACTCTCTTTTTTATAGTTCATTTCATTTCATTTTTTCCATCTTGCAAGTCATATCAAAATAAAACAATTGTCATCTTCAGCATGATTAATTAATGATTTATTTCTTGTATTTAGAGATAATCAGATAAAAGAAAGTATTGATGGGTAATATAAAATCAATAAGTATATACAATATCAAAACAAACTGAAAGATCCAAAAGAGTTGAAATTGCGTATACTTGTTGCATACAGATTTGCAAACATTAAAAGGTCGACAAACCATGGTATGAACATTGAACAGGGTTGATTCTTGATTGATTGAATGGATGACAAGGTGTATACAAGGGGGGGGGGACAAGGGGGAAGTGCCCCACCACCTGTAAAGAACTCAGAGCTTTTACACTTTTCAAATCTTAAACTCAAGAGTGAAGAACATAAAAAAAATAATAGTTTACTGTTCATTCAGTGCACAAAGATTGCCATCATGACAGAAGTCTGAATGAAAAATCTATTTAGAATGCACATTCATACTAATCGGATGGGCGCTATCAAAGTAAAACAATTATTTTTAAATGCCAAGCTGCTAAGGCTTAAGTTTGGAGGTAGTAAAAGACCATTTTTATTTTTTTTAGTTGATGTCCTCAACAAAAACGACCCACAGGTTTTGAACTTTCAGAAAACAAATAATGATTGTTTTAATGCAAGTTAATGTAGGAAATTGTTATGACTTATGACTAATTAAATGCAGTTCAATAATTTTAACATGTTGAAATTTAGTCATTTCGCAGCATTTTGACACAGTTTGTGTGACTATCCATCTACTAACGTTCACTGCGTTCAAGACGACGAGGGTGGGAGTCAAAAAGCCAAGAATTAATGAATGAAACTCACAAGGTTTAGGGGGTTGGACGAGCCAAAAAATGAACAAACAACTATTGTTTTTGATTTATTTTTTCCTTTAGAATAAATATATTGCAATGTTTAATAAAAGCGACTCAACTATAGACTCAAAGAAGTTCGTAGTAAGATTTCGATTCTACTGGAGACCACTGGAGGGATTTTATTTTCACTGGAGGGGTTTGAAAAAATGCTTTTTACAATTTAAAACTTTACGCAGGGTGATCTACATTCCACTGGAGAGATTCAGATGTCCTTCCTGGGAGGTTATAATTCCACTAGAGGGATTCAGTTATCCTTCCTAGGGGTTTATAACTCCACTGGAGGGATTCAGATATCCATCCTAGGGGTTTATAACTCCACTGGAGGGGGTTCAGTTATCCTTCCAAGGGGTTTATAATTCCACTGGAGACTATAAAATCAAAATAGCTGTAAAATGTAGGAACGTGCTATAGTGAAATCATCATGGTATAATGTTAAATTAGCTTTATATTATAGCATCATGCTTTAAAGTTTTAATTGGTTACCTTAAATTAAAATTTATATTTTTAGAATAAAGTACACAAATATTTCATAATATTACCTTTAACACTACTTTGGTATGACACATTATAAAGTTTTTGTACTCAAGGTTTGTGTTTGGATACTAATGCCAGGAAGAATATAGTTTGAATAAATTGAGCCCTGGTTTAAGGTCGTTAACAAAGGTCGTCTTTTATCTATATCTAGTCAAAGTTGCAGGCTTATATTCTGGCTTGAAAGCCCTCTCTAACCTAATAAATTTTTGGACCCTCTTTTTTATAGTTCATTTTATTTCATTTTTTCCATCTTTCAAGTCTCATCAAAATAAAACAATTGTCATCTTCAGCATGATTAATTAATGATTTATTTCTTATATGTAGAGATAATCAGATAAAAGAAAGTATTGATGGGAAATATAAAATCAATAAGTATATACAATATCAAAACAAAGATCCAATAGAGTTGAAATTGCGTATACTTGTTGCATACAGATTTGCAAACATTGAAAGGTCGACAAACCATGGTATGAACATTGAACAGGGTTGATTCTTGATTGATTGAATGGATGACAAGGTGTATACAGGGGGGGGGGACAAGGGGGAAGTCACCCACCACATGTAAAGAACTCAGAGCTTTCACACTTTTCAAATCTTAAACTCAAGAGTGAAGAACATAAAAAAAATAATAGTTTGCTGTTCATTCAGTGCACTAAGATTGCCATCATGACAGAAGTCTGAATGAAAAATCTATTTAGAATGCACATTCATACTAATCGGATGGGCGCTATCAAAGTAAAACAATTATTTTTAAATGCCAAGTTGCTAAGGCGTAAGTTTGGAGGTAGTAAAAGACCATTTTTAGTTTTTTTAGTTAACGAACTTTTAGAAAACAAATAATGATTGTTTTAAGGCAAGTTAATGTAGGCAATTGTTCTTATGACTAATTAAATGCAGTTCAATAATTTTAACATGTCGAAATTTAGTCATTTCGCAGCTTTTGTGACACAGTTTGTGTATCTATCTATCCATTAACGTTCACTGCGTTCAAGACGACGAGGGTGGGAGTCAAAAAACCAAGAATTAATGAATGAAACTCACAATGTTTAGAGGATTGAACGAGCCAAAAAATGAACCAAAAACTATTGTGTTTTGATTGATTTTTTCTTTACATTTTTTTAGAATAAATATATTGCAATGTTTAATAAAAGCAAACTATAAAAAAATGAAATGTTGGAAGTTTTTTTAAAGGTTTTTTATACAACCCAAATTAATTTTTATTGGTTTATTTTTTCAATATATTTTCTCTTGTTTAGGGTTCATTTATTTTTACATTTTCTCTGAGAATATATTTTGTGCAATATTTAACCCTATGAAGGCTGGTGGGTCTGAATCTATGTATCGCCCCCCCTGAAAAAGGCCTTAGAGAATAGATATAGGGTTGAAATGCACTGTTCATATCCCAATTTTGTCATGGCCAGCTCAAAGAATTTTTAAAAACGATCATTTCATATTCTTGTTTTTTTTTATGTAGAAAAGTGCATCCTAGATAAAGTGTACCATTGTGAATCTGGCATGTCCTTATTTGCATGAAAGGTCACTTGAAATTACGCTTACAGACCCTTTAAATTCCTGAGGTTTCTATTTATAACTTTAAATATATTATTCTACAAAAAAATAAAATTTTTTTCTTATAATTCTTTTGCAATTTTAAGTAATTTTTAAAAGTAATGAAAGTCACCGTTATTTTATAACACATCCATTCGTTAGTTTTACTTTTCTGTTTTTTTAAGCAAGAATGGTTTCAGAATCTTACTTTATTAAAAAATAACTTGCCGTTCATTATTACAGAAATATAGAACACATTACAGGGCACAGACATAATTACAAGTGACCCTGCATTTATAAACATGTATTCACAATATTACCCATAAAGTAACTACAGAGATAATTTCAAGTGACCCTCCATTTATAATCTCATTACAGAGAAGATAAAGCCTCCAACATTCTACATCTCAGTAATAAAAAGAGGTTAGACATGGGGAAATCCCATGCATCAAGTACTTCATGTACATCTACAAGATCATCATCCGTAATGAATCCTGTACCGAAGTTAATTAAAACATTCAAATACTCAAACTTACTAAATCCAAGCTAGCCAAACCCTGTTGTTTTTGCTGAAAACTAAGAGATTAATACTTGATCCAGAATAGTGAGATAAGCACTTGTGCATTTTAGCTTCATGCATTTATCCATAATTTTTGCTGATTTCTTAAAAGTTTTATCTCTCGTTTTTCTATCATTGAAAATTTAATCATCTAGCTCGTTATCTTATCTGAAAATAAACAGGGCGACCAAGCCTCTTTATAAATTTATAAATTTATAATTTTTTGTTTGTTTTGCTGTTCAATAAAGTATTTGAGAAGAAGTTCCATTAATTAAAGGCTATCTTTCATTTTTTAGGATTCACCTGTCCCGCCTTTAAAGCTAATAGTTAACAGTTTGTTACAACTGTTCATAAAAACATAATTTTTTAACGATATTTTCCATGATTTTTAAAAGTTACCGTTATTTTACGATCTCAATTTTAACCACACGAATTTAATAATTCGGTCCTTATCCCAGGAAACTATGACTTTAGATCACAGTTATGACCTCTTAAGCATATTTTTTCTCGCCTTTTCTTTTGTATTCTTTTTAGTCGAAAAATACGTTTTAAACAAAAAAAGAATAAAAGGACAACTCTAAAAGT